TGATTTTGCTGTATTATGTATATGTAAAAAAAATTGAGTTGATTTTGACTAATTTTATGTTGTTGTAAATAATATGTTGATGAAATATCAATTCTCATTGATTGTGGTTGGTAGCCTCGAGTATTTGTTCGATACTGTAATTGTGTGTTATGAATTGGTTATGCCAAGTTCGGTTCGTTGACAATTTTAGGTTGCGTTTTTTGTGTTCTTAATGGATTGGTATAGGTTTCAAATTTATCTGTAAAAAACATCTGTTTTTTTATGCCGTGCTTTTGTTATTTTCTTTAACTAGAGTTCTTTTTTAGTTAATTTCTATGAAAGTGCTCTTTGTCTTCTGACTATTGTGATTGGTCTTCATCAAAAATTTATTGGTTGGGTTGTGAACCTTTTGTTGAAAAATAGGATAAACTTTAGTACGATCTGTTTGAGTTTTTATCTTATCATGGAAACTTCGAAGTGAGTTGTTCGGTTCTTAGGCCTGAATCTGTATTGTTAAGAGTGGGCGTAAAATTGAATCTGGAGATAAATTTCACTAGTGAACATGCCAAATTGTGAGGTTTTAGTAATAATACTTGGTAAGTAGTGATCTATTACTTGTCTTTTTGTTTTAATTTCCGGTGTGCTTGGGCTATTTGGTTTCCGAAAAAGTTTCATAATCAGATTGTGACAAAACTGTATTTGTCCTTGTGATGAGTCGCATGTGAGATCAATGACAAATGGGAGAATTGAGTCTCATCTTCAAAGTTTTCCTGGAATTGATTCATATTTTATTTGGTATGACAATTAAAGTGTAGTTTTCAATGTAGCTCATTGTTTGATTCCAATTATATAGTCTTACTGGTTTTCGACAATAATTGTTTTTTTTCTATGTTTATTTCTTATATATGATGCTGATGTAGCTTCTGATTCAGAAAAGTACCGTTGATTGTTGAATGGCTTATTTTTTTCTTGAAATGAATCTCTCAGGTTTTCAATTTTTTTGTAAAGTTGTCGGGTCAGTTTCGCAAACAGCGATGCGTGTTCTGGAAATTTGAGTTTTTTAAATATGTTTCTGCGTAGAGATTATGGCCTCCTTTCTTTTGCTTTTTTGATCTGATATATCCTATCTTTTGTTTATGAGTTGTAATGACAAGGTCGTTTCTAGAAGTGTTAATTATGCAACTATGCTGAATTAGTGTTTGTTTAATTCCTAAATTATCTTTTGACATAAGTATTAGAATGATGAACCAACAACCAAATGTCAGCTCAATTTGCTGAAATGTTAGTTTTTAGGTTTTTTGTGAGGTTATCTTAATACTCGGGTGGTTTTGTCGTGGCAAGAAGGGTCAGGGAGAGTCTCTTCTTTCAAAAGAAAGATTTTTTTCCAGCTCCTGAAAAAATGAGGCTTTGTTTACATCTAAATAAAATTGTTCGTACTTACAGGGGGATCAATACGAGATCGAGAGTTGGAGAATAGTAAAGCAATTCACAAGGTTCAGGTATAATTAGAACGCAGGTAGATCGTTAGATACTATTTTAGTTTTAACTAATGCTAAAAGTTGTTTTAGGACTGAGTCATTTGAGAGGTGGGATTCAAGTGAAGGGTGAGTAACCGAAGTTCTAATTAGCCTAATTTGAAAGGTAATTTTCTACGAAAAATTTCAGTTAGTCCTGGGTCGTATGTAAGCGATGGAAAATGAAACGAAAGTTGGGGTCGTTATACATTAAATTACGAGGTGAGATTGAAATTGTGAAGAGATCCAAGCAAAACCTTGATGATGTGGCTTTGAAATCAGATTAAGGTACATGTTTTGAATAAGAATTTAAGATTTAGATTCAAGGTTGATTTAGCTTCAGATATTGATGATCTGGTTATGAATTAACTTAGTTGCTTAGAAGTTCTGTTTTTTTATTAGATGAAGAAAAAAAAACAGAGATGAACCTCAATAAGCAAGGAAACATAATTTTTTGCATGAACTGATTCTTAAGTAGTTTTTCCTAGGTAACGTTTGTATTTTTGAATTTTTGATTGAAAAAACTTTAAAATTTAAAGAATTTACAAAATTAATGCAGATTTGAAGTTTTGAAGTATATATCAGTTCTTTGTCGACAGCGCGTTTATGTATAGCTTCAAATACTTGTAATATATTCAAAAAATACGTTTTATGCAAAAAATTTTACGGCTGCAATATTGGCTTGATTTGACTAGACTTATTGAGACTTGGAGTTAAACTAATTCTATTTTCGATTGGTATAACATTTTTATTCCAATTTATGTCTGGTTTTTCTAAATTTAAATTATAATTGGTCTGCGCGAGATTTGTTTGGTCGCAACAGAAGAGTTCATGTTTTGTGTAGCTTTTTCATAGAGTAATTTTGGAAAGTGTACAACGTCTGTTAGTAACGCTAGCTTATTTTTGACCGATAGATTTGTGCAACTTCTAAGACTAATACCGATCCTAATTTTTCCTGAATATTTCCTAGCCTCAAAAGATCTAGTATATACTGGTATTCTAACGAGGTTAGAGGAGAGGAAGAGCAACCGCTTTCTTAGTTAAATTTTTTCTTCTCTGGCTGAAACTATAAATAGTTGCAGCTTTACAAATTATTGTAAGTTATGTATCATGATTGGTTAGTTCTAAGTATTTTACAGAGATAATTGTCAAGAATATAATTGAGTATATAAAGTACTTGTTTTGAACTGGTTCCAAAATTTAAAAATACTTGTTGAAATTTCACAGTGAATTGTTTGACAGTTCTCGATTTACATTTTTTTAGTGATTGGAATTATTGAAGCATCAGAAGACTGAAGCAAGTCTCATTATGGGTATTGTAAATTACGAGTACTGTATCTATAAGTTCTACTTAGGTGTTCCCTCCTGTTGCAGTCTTTTTAAAAAACAACGTTTATCCTACTACTTTTTGTATAAAATTTTGTAAGTCAAGCATTTTTTTGTCCAAGAGTTTTGTTATTCAACAAACATGAAAAAACGTGAAAACTGTTAGATAAAAGCTACTGTGAGTAATTTCTGGTTATTTTTTTCTTAAGGAAAAATGTTTATCCAAACAGTTTTTGTATATCAAAAATGTAAGATGCGCTTTTTTCATTACAAATTAAAAGCTCGTCTTTAATGACAACTAAAAACGCTGTTAACTGTTATTCAAATTTTTTTTAAAATGTGTTTCATAATTTCTGAAAAAATAGATCATCATCGTCTGTAGAGAAATTTTGTGTCATACAATTTTAACACATTGCAAAAGTAAGAAATTAGTTTTTTTGTCAACAAACACTTTCTTTGGGCCCAGCTAGCCTCAAAAATTAGTTCAGGTTTTTTCTCAATCTTTTTTTCGAAATTGTATGAAAGAAGTATGGGATTTTTTTTACCATACATTGCATTTATGGAATTGTATGATAAGTGTTTTTGTCGTAGAGATTTAATTGATGAGCGTTTTCAGTGTGTGGAGAACAACTCGGAACAAAAGACATAATTTTATAATCAATTATCCGTTTTCTACGATTTTATTCAATTTTACAATCAATGGGTTGACTGTTGTCGTTGTCACCATTTCGTAATATATAGCTAATATGTACACCAAATTGTAAAAATAAACTTTAGATTCAACTCAGAAGCTATTTTTATAATTTCACTACATTTATATATGTTGCCAAGCAGATGCATGTAGTTTCCAGAGTCTTGATGGTGTTGTTATTTGTTTGTTGTTTGTTTGGCAATCTATTCTTGGTCTAATTGCGTGCAATCTCCATCTCATTGTATTCCTGAATGAGGGCGCAGCATCCGAAAATTTGCAGGCAGATCATGTCTTCCATTATAGTCAGCAGGTGCAGGTGGTCGTCTTTCTCTTTCCTCTCAATTCCACGGTGTGCTCTCACCTAAAGAATTGTAGTTTTGGTCAAACATGATTCATTATTCAAAATTAAGCTACTGTATTTATAATAACAATTAGAGAAAAATCAAGTGAAGAACGTGCGGGCAATACAATTACTCTCGCTGTTACAATTGATTGAAAATATTTAAAAAGTTCAAGCGTTTTTTTATTGAAAAATCAAGTAGCTCTTGTAGTCTTTTTTCACGTGAACGTGTCAAGAATAACGCACAATTCATTTTTCACTTGTTTTTGAGATAAAAAAAAGGGTGAATAATTTTTAGAGTGTACGAAAGCCGCCTTTTTACAATTAATCAACCAGAAATTGTTGTTCAGTAGAGAGCAATAAAATATTTTTACAGCTAAAAAAACGTTACACCAAGAATTTTTTGTATTTCAATAAGTTCAAAAAACCAAAATCCATTTCGACTTTTTTTTCACACCATAAATCAAAATTGTTGTTTATCCAATAGTTCGATAACAAAAACTCAGGTTTACGGCCTGAGAGAAAATCAGCGTTCTAAATTCTCACAAAAAGTGCAAGTTACCGTAAACTAAACTCTTTTTTGTTGTGAGAATTTAAAGCGATCATTTTGTTCTCAGACCATAAATCAGAGTTTATGTTATTGAGGCAGTGTACAATACAAACAACAATTCTGATTGATGGTGTGAAAAAGACAACGAATGTCGAAACAATTTTTGATTTGTTCTATTTGGTTTATTTTTTTAGAAGTCCATTCTATTTCAAAAGCTCAGTTGGATCTACTTAATAATCGCCCTTCCCTTCGTATTTACTTAAGAACTGCCACCCCTATTACTGAAAGCAGTAAATACCAGTTGAGCGTTTTATTTGAAATTCGAACTTTGCTGCAATCTGATTGGCCGAAAATGCGACAACTTAACCTACTTAACAATTGCCCCCCTTTCTTAAAAAAGGGGGGGGGGGCAACTGTTAAGTAGATCCGCTCAGTTAAATGGAGAAAGCAGGCTACCTTTTGTCGGACTCCGATTCGGCAAGGCAGACATGGGAAGAAGCCGTGCAGACAGCAGTTCTCCCCAACTGATTCGCCGATCTTACCGGCCAGATAGCACGGGAACAGAACGGCCAGAATACAAGTCTTGCACTGGTCGAAGCAGCCGAACAATCCGTGGTTCCATTCACCCATTTTGATTATTTATTTGTTTGTTTGTTTTTTTTTGCAAACGGAAATATTACTTTTTTAAGCCTAAAACAAACAATATACATCAACACATCACAATATAAATCTAAAATCAAGTCATTACTATATGCTGTTATGGATATATGAAGTTAATGGTTCAAAACTGAATCAATCAAATAAAGCCATGCTAGTCTTATCAGGTTTTGCATTGATTTTTCCGAGGCACCCCTCCACTTTATATCCAATTAAAATAGTTTTGTATATGAAGATTGGAGCTAATCTGTACTGATATTTTCTACGCCGTTTTTTTAAATGTTATGCCGCTTATGGTCTTTTAAGTCACTCAATATACTCTTTTCGCTGTTAATGAATTATCATGACTTTCAAGCAATTCAATTTTAAACTTCCGAAAAAATTTACGTAATAATCTGAGCAAATTCACGTCGCAAAAACATTAAAAATTCAAAATTTAAAATTACGCTCAATTACGACTTTAAAATTACGCTCAAAAAAACATCTTACCTGTGTTAGATTACGCTCTATGCACCTGAACCGATGATCAAATCAATGAAAAAAAGGTATATTTTTAAGTAGTTGGTACTCAAATCTTTTTAAACATAGCTTTGTTTGGTTTGTTTTGGTAATTTTTGATGTTGCCAAGCCCCGGCCAAGATTATTCCACCAACGCTTACGCGCTGTTCATTTTTAATCAAATTTTAATGCGTGCAAAAAAGACTGGCGTAAGAAAAAGTACACAAAAACTGAAAAAATCATGCCATTATAAACAGAAAACACCGTAAAGAAAAGTGAATATCAACTTTAAACAACACGTATGTAAAAACGAATCTGACAGCTGAACAGTACATTTATGAGAGTTGCTGGTTATGACTAAAAAGTTAAAGTTTAATTTATGGTCCAGATTTGGAAGTAAAAATCAAAACTCTTATTTATGACGCAAATAGTTTACAGCAATAGAAAAAGCTACATAATTGTTTTGCATGATTGTCCAAAATGCATCAAATTGATTTATACAATTCATGCGTTAACCTAATTCTTATTCCAAGATTGGACAACTTATGAGGAGGAATTTCAGGGTTCGTGTTTTTTTGTTAGTTGTTAGCAACTCTCTGAGTTGTCGCGTTGCAAGGAATTCGCCTAATTCACAATCTTAGTTTCATAGCCGTCTATATATTTAGGAACAAAAAAATTAATTCCCGCAAAAAAAAAATCGGATCAACCGTACAATACCCCCCCCCCCCCCCCACCCCAAATCAACTTAGGGGAGAGAAAATACTAATTTTTCATCATGAGTGAAATAACTTTGAGGAGAAAGTTATATCACTTCACTAAAAAAAATAATTTATCGGAGCCTAATGTAGAATCGGTGATTCTACTGTATTACATACTATAGTAACCTGAGCGTAAGATTGCTTCGTCATTAAGTTAAGAAGTACAGCAAACAAACAAACAAAGGGTCGAGTTCAAAATAGTTCACTCTTCGAAAATATCGTCACTCCTATGCCAGAAAACAAAATTTGACAAAACTGGCTACCATTTCCGGTTTTATGCCCTAAGTAAACAAACCCACCCGTAATTTCCGGAGTTCATTTCTCGGCTTCCAATGATCACAGGGAGCTGAAACTTGAAGGGATGATAGTTAATGGCAAGATAAATGTTGTGTTATAGTTTGAATCTTTTCCAACGGGTGGAGCGGAAGTTGATAGGACTTGAAAAACCACCCCTTAGACCGGAAATAGGCAATCAACGCAAAATAATGCACAGTGCCATAATGATTTTTTTGCAGCAATTGACATAAGATACGAACTCCGAAAAACGACCCCTTCTGAGTGAAAACCCTCCGGTGACTCCTTCCCGCTTGACCCCTGGGTGACCTCAAGTTGACTTTTGGGCGTCTTGACCCCAAAATTGCATAGAAAACTTCGAGGTTAACACCGAAAAGTGGCGTATTCCCCAACCCAACCCCTGGAATTGAGAATGGGTCACCTTGCTAAAACTTGGAAAGAAATTTATTAATGGGACTTAGAGAAGAAGATGATAGCCATACAATTTTTTAATGCAACCTTGGAGTAGTAGAGTTAATTCAAAGTGGACTGGGTAAACATTGGGCTCAGTTTAGCTCAGCGAGTGATCTATTAAAAGCAATTCAACTACACTAAAGAATAGTAGTCCCAGAGGAAAAACTGATAGTAATAGGACCACAGCTTGAGAATTAAGTCTCCTAAATTATATGAACGGACGGGGAACTTAAATAGTTCCCCGGAGATGACTTTTCGGTTTGATTTGACCTCTAATAGGCAAACCACTTTACCTTGATAGCTAGAAGGTCGCGTTTGGAATAGAGTATAGATAGAAATTTAAGATGCTTGGAATGAAATAGCTATCCATGAAAAATGTCTCCCCCTACCCTTGGGAGGTCAGAACGTTAACGAAATAACTAAAATAAAGACCTTGGGAGGGTCACTGAGTAAATATAGGTTGATTTGTATTAGAGGGCTTAACTCACTGAGGTCAGGAATCAGCTGATTAAAATTGTATGACATTTGTTTGCTTGGTCAAATTGTGACACCTACTGCATACTGGGTATCTAATATGCGTGACAAGATTGATAAAAGAAACCGAGCTTGGCACGTGGCAGTGTTGACAGGGGGAGGGATATCGTCTTAAAACACGTGCGGACGGTTGACTTAAGTGAATGTCAGACTGATAGGGAGTATCGTGACCTAACTAAAACTTAGTTTGAAGAAAGATAGGAATTGAAGGGTACCGGAGAGCCTTTAAGAGTCAGAGCAGTTGTTAGCTACTATTAAGAGTGGTTGGTTCTCAGTCATCGAAGAGAGCAATTGATACTGAGAGAGAATATAGTTGGTTCTCAGTTAGTTAAAGAGAACAATTGTTGCTATTTAGTCAAGTAGTTGTCTCGGAGTAAGAGAACATTTGTAGCAGAAACAGTAGAAAGTTGGTTCTCATCACAGGATTATCTAGAGAGAGAGAGAGAGAGAGAGAGAGAGAGAGAACAATTTAGTGATAGTGGAATCTGTTGAAGTCAAATTGCAATTAGGCAAATCGGCCGATAAATTGCCGACCTTTTGCTCTTGATTTGATTATTAGATTATAACCTGGCCACTCTCAGTTTCCTGTAATTTAACATATGTTTATCTGAACTAAATTACAAATGGAAGTTCTTGCGTTTGTATCGATTCGACAAGACAACCTGAAAGGAGTACACAAAAAGGAGTATAATACAATACAGAATAGTTGCCACCAAAATAACCCTTTCGGGATTGTAGATAGTAGTGAATATCGGTCACCCCGCTGAATTTACTACCCAAGGGACCACTTTAGTGCCAATTTGCTTCCCAAGG